GAGCAATCTTTAAAAAAATTATTTAACTGACAATTGTATATTGTCATAGGACAAAACATGATTGCTCAATGCACTATGAAATATTTAAATTACATTAATTAGAATACTTATCATTTCACAAATTTATCCTTTATTGTAGAAGAACATTTAAAAAATGTACTCTTTTAGCAATTTGCAGGCATACAGGATGTCATCACTAACTATGGTTACTGTGCCTGGTAGTGGGTCACTAGGCTTTACTCCTGCCTAATGGGAGCTTGGAACACTGACCTCAATCTTGCCTTTCCCAGGATCTCATAAGCACTGGACCAAGGCACAGAAAGGGAGAAAAAAACTCTTGGACCCTATCAAAACAAAAAACTTTTAATGGAAAGACAAGCTAGAGACAGCAGAATATTTTTAAATAGTTTTTGGGATGTGAGAAGCAAGAAAATTCAAAAGCCTGGTAGAAGCAAACATTTTTATTTTATTTTTTATTCTGCAGAAATGGAGTGCTGGGTGGTGGCACATGCCTTTCATCCCAGAACTCGGGAGGCACAGGCAGGCAGATCTCTGTGAGTCTGAGGCCAGCCTGGTCTATAGAGTGAGTTCCAGGACACCTAGGACTGTTTCATAGAGAAACTCTGTCTTGAAAAACAAATAAAAAACAAAAAGAAAAAAAGAAAAAAGAAAAAAAATAGATGTCAGCCTAGAGAAAAGATAAAAATAGCTGGAGTGCCAATTTGGTGTGTATGGTGGTTTGAATGAGAATGTCCCCCAGAGGGATTTGAACATTTGGTCCCTAGTTGGCAGCAATGCTTGGGGAGGTTTAGAAGGTGTGTATGTCACTGGTGGTGGGCTTTGAGAGCTGAAGGGCTGCTGCTTGCTGCCATGCTTTACCCCTACCCCCGATGGTGGACTCCTATCCCACTGGAACCATAAGCCAAATAAACCTTTGCTTCTGTAAGTTGCCTTGGTCATGGTTATTATCACAGCAGTAGGGAAGTAATTAGCACCCAGCGAGACAGTGATCTTTAAGGTTCCAGACTGTGAAATGCCTTCTCTTTCCCACAGGCTGGTACTTCAGAAAGTTCAATCTTCACACTCGTCTAGCAGAGCCTCTTTCCCAAATCCCACATTCTATTGGCTTAGGACACAAAGCCTTATCTAATGTATATCTTGGGGCTGGAGATGCTGTTCATTTCTGGGCTCAGTCACATAGCAGACTGCCTGTGACTTTTCAACTCCAGGATGAATTGGGCGCACATAAATAAGCAGGTGCTATTGACAGCTAGGGAAGACAGGGGCCTGGTGCCTGCTGCTTACTTGTGACTCTCTGAGGAGCTCTAAGGGCACCTCATAATGATTTATTTCTTATTCAGGGCAAACAATTGTATCTAGAAAAACTCCGCCCAATTAAAAAAAATAGGCAAAGACTTGAACTGACATGTCACAGGAAAGGATGATGAGAGGACTGACTCCCTTTGGACAGGACAGCCATCCATGCAGAAAGCCTCAAGGATGCTACAGAAACAAAACACAAAAACCTTCCAAGATGAAACCTGTGAGCTTGGCAGGGTGGCAGGAGAGGAGCTTGGCACACAAAGGCAATGAGACCCTACATCCTCGGCGTGGAAACTGAACTAAGGCACACTACCGTTCACAGGTGACTGAACACAGGGAGAGCCTCTGGTGTGCTCACCTGAAAGTGTAGTGATGGAACCCTTAAAACACTGAAATAAGTAGGCTACACCAGGCTGTGCAGAGGGAGGCTTAGTGTCAGCTTCTCCCTAAACCCCCCAACAAGATCCCTTCCTTCTTTTTCTTTTTCTCTTTTTCTTTCTTTTTCTCTTTTTCTTTCTCTTTCCCTTTCCCTTTCTCTTTCTCTCTTTGGTTCTCTTTCCAACCTTCTCTTTCTCTCCTCAACTTCTCATCACTTTATTTTAAATTTTATTTATTAGTTGGGTGATGGTGGCACATACCTTTAATCCCAGCACCTGGGAGTCAGAGGCAGGCAGATCTCTGTGAGTTCAAGGCCAGCCTGGTCTACAGAGTGAGTGCCAGGATAGGCTCCAAAGCTACACAGAAAAATCCTGTGAACACCCCCAAACTTATTTATTTATTATTATATTATTGTTATTACTACTTTGAGACAGAGTCTCTATAATATTGTAACTCTGGCTGTCCTTGAGCCCAGTATGTAGACCAGGCTGGCCTCGACCTTAGAGATCCACCTGTCTCTGCCTCCTAACCACTGGGATTAAAGGAGTGAACAGCCACACCCAGCTAATTAGTTGTCTTTGTATTGCTTGCTGTGACTTTCTTTCAAAACATTTTTAAAGATTATTTTATTTTATGTGTATGTTCATATGTATATGTGTGTATCATGTGAATCCTGGAACTGGAGTTATGGACAGTCATGAATTGCCATGTGGGTGATGGGAATCTAACCCAGGTCCTCTGCAAGAACAAGTGCTCTTAACCACAGAGCAGCCCATTTTTTTTTTTTATGGTGTGTGTGTGTGTGCATGGACATACATGAGTGTTTCTGTGCATATGAGTTCAGGTGCATGCATGTCATAGTGGACATAGGGACATCAGAGGACAACTTTTCAGGAGTTGGTTCTCTCTTTACATACTGTTGAGATGGAGTCTCTCCTGTTTCTCCTGAACTGCACACTCTGGGAAAGCTGGCCCATGCATTTGTGCCTCTGGGCAATTTTCTTGTCTCTACCTCCTGTCTCGATTGGGATGACAGATGTGAATTATTGTGTGTCCAGATTTTTATGTAGGTTTCAGGGATTGAACTTGGATCAACAGGATTGCCATCTCTCCAACACTTCATCTTTTTTCACAGTAATTTTAAGTTCAAAGCAAAATTGAGCAGAAGGCACAGAGGTGTCTAGTACAGCCCCACCCTTGAATACTATCAACATTCCCAGTAGATTTCTTGATTTACCTAAACTTAGAAAAGCTCACTTTAAAGTGTAAATAAAAAAGTTGTAAAGGAGTTACAACACTTTTGGAAAGAAAGCTGGAGGACTCATCCCATTTGATGTTACTGGTAGCCACAGCCAGTAACCAAGACAGAGGGCTGTGTGCAGAGGGACAGGAACCAGGACCATGAAGATACTAGAGAAACCAGGAATGGACCCTTCCAGATTGGGGTGAATCTGATATTGTGCCAAAGTGAGCCAGTGGGAGAGAGACAGCCCTCGACACATGGGCTGGAGTGAATAAACTCACAGAGGCCATGGAGAGCCCTGTACAAATCACAGAGAAATACCCAAGGAACCAATTAGAAAGCAGGCAAAAGTCACAGAGACACTTCTCTCAAGAGTTGTACAGACAGAACAGGTACAGGAAAAGAGGTTGGTTTCATCATTAGCCAGTTGAGAAACACAAATAAAACTGTGTGAGGTGTACCACACACCCACGAGAATGGCTAGATGAAATGCCTGTTGTTACCAGTGAAGGCTGAGAGGGTGTGGTGAAGACATGACCCTCATTGCTGGCAGCAACATAAGGTGTGAATGACACAGGAAACAGGCACTGCAGGATTTAAACATTCTGTGACTAGCAAGTGCGAGCTTGGGTGATGACGCCAGAGAAATGGCAGTGTACACACATACAACCTCCACACAATGTCCATGGCAGCTTCATGGATGTATAACAGGTCCAAACTAGGAAAAATCCCAAAGATCTTCTGTGGACAAGTGACCAAACCCTGCAGTAGGTTCACGGCACCAATCATACTTATCAATAAACAAAAGCCGACTACTGTCATAGGCAAACTTAGAGGAATCTTCAGGACAATATGATGAATAAATAAAAAAAAAGTCTTGAAAGATGGCATGCTGTATAACTTCACTTAGGTAGCGTTTTTGAAATGACAAAACTACAGAGATGTAGAAGGTCTTAGTATTTGCTCAGGTGAGGGAAGGGAGGAGACAGCTATAAAAGGGTGCAGGTCTATGCTGGTGTGGTGCTATATACACGAGCCCTTGTGGAGTTACATGTACACACGTTTGTACCATGGTGACATCTGCTCAGGGTTGAAGGGTGGCACCAGATAGACTTCCTGGTGTTGGTATGATGTTGGTATGTTGGTTATATCACATGGCAGCCCAGCTGGTTTAGCACTAGGAGCCTCTTGTCATGCCTTACAGCTATTGGGGACCTGAAATCCTTACCTTAAAACAGAAGTTATAGTTAGTGATTTCTGCCTCCTGTTCTGAGGAACCTCTGGCTGATCTTGTCCAGCTGGATTGTAAAGTGTAACCCCCAGATATTCCAGTCATTTCCAGTGGCTAGTGGGATCTGGAATGAAAAGTGAATGCGAATAGAGAAAGCCAACGATGGAATCCAAGTTGAGCCACCATCAGGTGAAGGTACTTGCCCATCATGTGCAATAATCTCTATGTGACATTCAAGAACCACATGGTAGAAGAGAACTGACTCCCACAAGCTGTTCCTCTGACCTCCACACAAACACTGTAGCATGTGTGTCTCCCCCAAATAAGTGAGTAAATATAACAAAAAAGATTGCAAAAATAAAGCTAGGGCATGTTGACAAACCACAAAGCCAAGACTCTAATTAAAACAGAATCCAACAATATGAAAACAAAACAATGAGAAATAAAACCACACCATTACAATGGAACCAGACTTGTAAGGAATGCAAAGATGGTTCAAAACCAGATGAATCCCTGCTGCTCACCACAGAAAGAAGTTTATCAGCAGGTGATTCCTTTAGGGTGTCTAGTCAGCATCTAACAAGGCTGAGTACTAACTCAGGACACTCTTCCATGGTTGGATGCATTTAATTGCTTTCAAAACCATTGGGGACATGAAGAGCATGTTCCATGGGGGTTTCCCCAGCAGCTGGCTTTCTTGTTCTGTTTTCTTGCTCAGAAAATCTGAGGTATATTACTTTCTACTCTGCCCTGCTGGTTTCCTTCAGAGAGCTGACTTGTTTGGGTTTGTGTTGCTGTGCTTTGCTCTTGGCAGCTAGGATTAACTTAGGCCATACCGTGGTTCTCACTCACTTTGTAACGTTCTGGGGCATGAAAAGGACTGAGCCAGGTTAGGGAGACTCGGGGACCGCAAATGGCCTTCATATTAGCCCACATGGACCGCCTTCCCCGAGAGTGCTTGTTCTGGTACAGCATCTCAATTGTGGTTTTGTCTCTGTAGATGGCACACATCTGGCTGCAGAACATCACCAAGGCAAGGATGAAGCCCATCAAAGCCACTAGCAAGAGAAAGAAGATGGGCTTAGGTGGATATACGGTGCTGCTGGCATTCTGCTCTCCCTGGGCGTGGCTGCGCAGCACAGGGATGCTCAGCAGCAGCAGCACATGGGTTGAGATAAGCCAAATGTACAGAGTGAAGAGCAAGAAGTATTTCTGGTTGTCCTCACCCACGCAGTTGTTGACCCAAGGGCAGTGATGGTCATTCTTGCGAATGCAGCGTCTGCACACTGTGCAGTGGTCAGCATTCTCTGGTATAGCAGAGAGGCAGAGGGGACAGTACAACACTGTGTCAGGCCCGGGTGGGTTTCCCAGGGGCACAGAGCCTGGATCAGTCAGCATAGACTTTAGGTGTGATACGAGTGCCAGGGAGGCTAGCAAATGGAAGACCACACCGTTGGCGGTGGCGTAGAATATGTTGTTAGATGGTATGAGCAGGTCCCGGACCAGTATCCATGCAGCGCTCAGCACCAGCGCCCACGTGGCCATGGCAAATATGATGCCCAGGGGGTCCCACACGAACCAGCAGCGTTGCTTGGGGCCCTGCAGTGGGGTCTCTAGCCTGGTTCTGTTCTCAGAAGTGTCACGTTTTTGGACCCATGAGAGCATTGTGAGAGTCCTCAGGCCTGCTCAAGGGCCAGCATCCGGGTGGTAGACCCAGGCCCAGGAGGAATCCCCAGAGAGACAAAGGCCCCGTGCCTTGTCCCTCCTCTCCCACCCCGCTTGTCTGGAATTGGTGCCTGCTGCCATGGGCAGAGGCAGGGAGGGGCTTGGAGGGCTGCCTGACAGGCTGATCCTGGCAGTGTTCTAGAATGCTCCCTCAGATGGGTTTATGAACACAGAAAGGGCCTACTCTCCCTTAAGGCCTGGAGGAAGGCTGGGAGGAGGAGACACCCCTAGGTGCTGACTACCTGGCTCTGCCTTCCCCACTCTGAACTGACCTGTTAGAGCTACATAACTGCCAGGTAAACATTCATGATCTCTTTGCTTTGGAGAAACTGAGGCAAGGGAAAGTGAAATAAATTGCCTCAAGAGATCAGGCAAAGGATTGTCCCAGAGCCTGGGCTTCTGCCCCGCCCTGTGGATGTACAGTGTCTGTCTGCCTCACCATGAAGAGTATCTGTCTGATGGGAAAGGCCCATCGGTACCAGTGTGGCATTAGTATGGTTGATGGAACCACAAAAGCTCACTTAGGGACAGATGGAAAGCAAGAACATATTGGGGAGTACTGGGGCCTCTCAAGAGGTCTGTGGCCTCTTGGTCAAAGCTTCAGACAAGAGCTGGTCTGATTGTCATCTCTGTCCACAACCTAACTTTAGTGATGTAGAGGACAAATCTGTGTGGCTGGGCTTCCTGCAGTACTACCAGGTAGAGGGACCTGTGGGCACTTTTGGTTGGGCTGTACTCAAGGACTTGTCCATACAGAGGCCAGGGTGCTTTGGGCTTTCCAGTGCACTGTGCCATTGTAAAACAAAACAAAACAAAACAACAAAACACAACAATCCGTGTGTTAGTCTGTGGAAGTTTGTGTGTATGTGTGTGTATGTGTGTGTGTGTGTGTGTGTGTGTGTGTGTGTCTGGGATAAACAACACTAGGAATCATTTCAGCTGCTCCTTGTGACAACACAATAGCCTTATGGCTCTGCATTTGTCATTGTCACTACACCTAACAAAGGTTGACATGTAGGGAGCTGGAAAACTTCAGCTTGTGGGTGAAAAGTCATTGTTGTCCCTACCCTCACCTCCTCAGCAGATTTCTTTGCTGCCCAAAGCAAGGTATGACCTTGCTTTGGGCAAGGGGATTTGTAGGTGGTGAAGCCTCTGTGAACACACAAGTTACATCTCTCAGTGATGTAGGCCATTGGAGTCCTCAGCCACACCATCCCCGTGCCTTCTGTCCACCATGTTTACGGATGTTGGGGACTTTCTGGGCTATTACCTCTCTAGACCCTTCTCACCTCACACATTCTTGACTTCCTTCATGTCTGCAGGAAGCCATCAGCCAAGTTTTGAGTCTGAGTTGTGAAATCAGAAACATAGCTATCTTATGTTTATCTTGTATTTCTGTGAAGAGACACCATGATCATAACAACTCTTATAAAGAAAAAATTTAATTGGGGGAGGCTCACTTACAATTTCAGAGCTTCAGTCCATTATCATCATGTTGGGAAGCATGGCGGTGTGCAGGCAAATGTGGTGCTGGCTACATCTTGCAGGGAATAGGAAGTTGACTGAAACAGTGGGTGGTATCCTGAGCATAGGAAACCTCAAAGCCCACCCCCACAGTGACATACTTCCTCCAACATGGCCATACTCACTCCAACAAAACCACACCTCCTAAGAGTGCCACTTACTATGAGATTTATGGGGACCAAATACATTCAAATCTCCACAATAGCTGTTTACCTACTTGTTTGCTCCCGACCCCCATGCATGGTGACTCATGAGGGGTTCTCAGGAATTTGACTCTCAGGGACAGAACTGCAAAAAAACCTCTTGGAGTGGTGATAGGGCTTTTGGCCTGAGCCTCTTGTCTATTCTAGGCATTGGCATTCCTGTGTCTACATGCCAGATGTCTCAACCAAACTTCCTGGATGCCCTGGTTGTTGTTCCCTCCATTTCTGTACATAAGTGTATGTAGCTGCTGTCTCCCCTCATGGCTCAGTTGTGGTGTGTGGTTCCCTGTACCCTTCTGTGGGTGGTACCTAAACATTTTGTGCCCTCAGTGGGTTTTGTGCTTGAGCCTGGCATGGGCTGCTATCCTGCCCGTGGTGCTATGTCTTAAAATGCTTGTTCTCAGTGGTGCATTATCAGCACTGTAGGAATATCATGGAGCTTCCCTGAGAACCACACACGCTGTGACAACACAATAGCCTTATGGCTCTGCAGAGTCCTCTACCTTGTGAGCTTGGTGACTCAGGTTCTAGGACTGGGCCCTAGTTAGGCTCTCTGTGTAGACCTTTGGGGTGGGCTCAGGATCTCCCTCTGTTGATACCAACTGAGTGAAAACAACAGAAAGAAAGTGTGTGAAAAGCTCCTAGAAAGGCTGGGGGTGGGGCAGAATGGAGGCCCCAGGGTTTGAACATACCTGTAGGATGCTGGGAACAAATGTCTACAAGGCTTAGTCTATTGGCTGCCAAGATGTTCTGTTCTGGGACAGGAATGTCACACAGCTTGGCTATGGGGACTTGATGCCCCTGGTATCCAGTGGAATAGGAGCTGGACTGGGTTTAGGTGAAGGGGCTTGCTTCCTGTTGAACTCTTTGAGGGGCATGTTCCTTGTTTCTGTGTTTTCAAAGGCAAGGGCATACTTCCTGTTTCTGTGCTTTGTAGGGCACACTTCCTGTTTCCATGCTTTGTAGGGCACACTTCCTGTTTCTGTGCTTTGTAGGGCACACTTCCTGTTTCCATCCTTTGGAAGACATGCTTTCTGTTTCCAAGCTTTGTCCTTGTCAGGTCCTAAAGAAATCTGGGACAAGTCTCAGCACCTGTGGCTCCTCTCAGCACTTCTAACCCCACCCCTATCTTCAACCTCTCCAACCCAGGGGCTGGGCTTTGCTCCCCTTCTCCCAGCTTCTGATCCTATATAACTCAGCCATTTTGACTACATGATGTCTTGGTTCCCATGTGTTCTCTTGGTATTCTTGGCCCCCTCTTTCTTCCCTCTTTCACTTCCTCTCTCTCATTCTACCCCCTGTTCAGTCAGGTCCCTTCCAGAGGCCTCTGGGTGTGCTCTCCCTCATATCTACAATGAAACATTTCTTCTCAGCCGTACCTAGGAGTGGGAATGTCTTCATTCTCATTCAGTCCTGTTATTTGCCCAATCAGGCTTCCTTCATCCTCAGCCTTCTCCCCCAGAATCTGCGAAATTCCCTGCAATTTCATGCATTCTCTGAGGCATGCAGGGTATCCTAAGATTCCAGGTGGACACTTTCCAGAACATTCTGTTGTACATCAGCATTTTACCAAATTCTGTGGTGTTCCTTCATAGTTAAGTCTGTGTTGTAGCTGCATCAGCCTCAGCTGTCAGATCTCAGGAGTTCTGAGCATTCACTGGCTCATCTAAAGATACAGTGGTAGAAGTTCTAGTTTCTCCATAACTGACCAGAACACTTTCCCTCCTGGATCCTGCTTCTCCTTGTAACGGTAGCAGGTTGTGTCCTGAGGTCTCTTCTGTCTCCTTCCTTCCTTC